ACATTTTTGAACTGATAAAATCGAATCATATAGTTAAAGGATTTTTACTTTTGTTCTTTCCCCTCCATATTTCTCGGTTTTGCTTTTTTAAACACCTGAGTACTCACCGCTCAGTTTAAAAAATAATAGATCACCTTATACATAATGAGCTAGTATCTACTTAAACTTCAAAACATTTCTCAATTTTAGAAATGGTAGACTTAAAAGCCCCAATCGTGTATTTAAGATTTCAAATCTTAAATCTTTGACCATAGACTGTTTAAAGAATTGCCCCTACCCAAAGCAATCATCTTCTGCTAAGATGAAGTTATAGAAACAACAACATTTTTTAAAATGAAAACTTAAAGAGCCAGTCCATGTCCTACCTGGGTTATTGGAATGTAGAGAGGTTCTCCATTTTGTAGCAGGGTAAGTTTCCCATGCTGATGAAGGCGTCCTTCTGGCTTTAAATTTGCCATCTCCTTAAGTCCTCCTTTCCTGCCACTCTCTTGTCCATTTGCCTTAAGTTCTTCAGTATCACTTAGGCATTCAAAAAATTCTTCTTCGCTATCACTCCAAGAATCCCAAGATTTTCCCACATCTGGCTGCTCTCCAGCTTTTCCAGCATCCCCGGGACAGGTATTAGTCACATTATCTGAAGTACTTGTCTTTCTCCCCTCATCACGTGCCTTTTTTCTTTCAATACAACAATTTAACATCTTAAGGAAACAAGAAATAACATTTATATTTGAATTAGTTACTGTAAAGTAAAAATCTAGCCACTGCTTGAATATTTAATTTTCATTCTCCACCCCTTCCCTAGACCTTGTTGTGAATGACAGTGATTATAAGTAACCTACAGCAGCACAATGAGAACAGACTATAATTCATACTTAAATTTAGTATCAGAATAAACTCCAATTGAACCAAGACCACATTTACAAACTGTCATTGGGAATTCTTTACCTGTAGTTTCTGATGTAGCAAACAACATCTCAGATCTGGGGGTCCACTTGCTAATCTATCAAATGAAGTAGTGGGAACAGAATGGTAAGTTTTAGTTAAATTGCTTCAGATACGCATATTCTTTGTACTACTATAAATTTTTGTCATAATGCTAAGAAATCAAAACTAGATTTATATACGTAAGGTAACTAGATAGAACAAATAAGATTAAAAGATCAAAATTTATTTTATCCTCCTATTTCACAAATCACCAACAGCAAATACCGAGGGTGCCAAAAAAATGTATACAAGTGGACAGTTTGGTCATTGCTCAAGCAGTAGTTCGTCATCCAGAAGTGTCTGGACGCTGATGGTAACTACTTTGAGCACCTCTTGTAATTGCAGAAGTTAAAGGTGACTTGAATTCATCCTTTGTTTTCAGTATATAGTGAGTGTTACAAATTTAATACAATTTTAATTCCTTTCTTAAAATGTATATACATTTTTTGGCACCCTCTGTATAATAGATATTTCAAAGCGTAATAGTAAACTAGTGATAGCTCTCAAGCTAACAGAAATTAAAAATTTAAAAAAGTCTCTAAATCTACCCTAGGAAGTAGCTAGAATATAGCATTTTACACCATAAAACATAGATTAGACTGTATTCAGTTATCAATTATTATAGGGATTCTTAATATAAGNAGAAGATTTACACTTATTAGTAGATAGAAAGACTTATTTTAAAGCTGTAGCAATAAAGACAGTGTGCTATTGGCACAAGGACAAAGAGACTAACAGAACAGAATCAACAGTCCAGAAACAGACCAACACACATACAGTCACCTGACTTACAACAAAGACATCACTGTCACTCTGTTCTGCGAAGAGGCAGGTCTTTGAATAATGGTGCTGGAACACAACTGTATATGCTTACAGAAAATGAGAATCTTAACCTCTTCCTTGTATGAAACAAGCCTATGGGAGGTGCATCATAAATATAAATGAGATAGGTAAAACAATAAAGCTTCCGGAAAAAAACTTAAGTGACTATCTCTAGGACATTGGGGTAAAGATTCCTTAAATGGGAGACAAAAGCCACTATCCACAGGAGAAACACATTGTTAGATAATACTTTATTAAAATTAAGGATACCTGCTTAAAATTAACTAAAGCATCATTAAGAACATGAACAAGCAAGCCACAGATTAGGAGAAATTATTTGTAATACATACGTATGACTGAGGACTCATATCCAGAATTTATGAAGAATTCTTACCAAGCAATAAGAAAAAAAAGACAACTAACTTTTTTAAAGACGGCAAAGGCCTTGAATAGGCACTTCACCAAAAAGATATCCAAATAGGCAATAAATGTGTTCACTACCATTATTCATCACAGAAATATGAAGACTTGAGATATTACTACATACCCAATAAAAAGGTAGAAATGTAAATGACTGAAATAAATGACTGAAAGTATCAAAGAGTGCAGAGAAGAGTTAACACAGTAGGCCTCGGACAGCTATCCTCAGAAAACCTGTTTGCAAAGCTGGCCCATGGCTGGCATCTGGGAACTTGGATTTTGGCAAAGTCCTCACCATACTCAACTGATTAAAATGGCTCACTGTGCCACAGCTATTTGTGCAAACGATATGGTTTATGCTGAAAACCTGCTTTGCTTCTTACAGTCTGGAAGTTTGGTACACGCTAGGCAGAGGGTGCCAATGTATCCAGCCCCCAATATAAACCCTGAGCACTGAGCCTTTAACATTTTACGTGTTGTCACAATTTGTTGTTGGAAGAATGAAGTGCATCCTGTGTGACAACACTGGGAGGGGACTCTTGGAAGCTTGTGTTTAATATCCTCCAAACTTTGTCCGATGTGCCTTTTTCTTTTGCTGATTTTGCTTTGTATCCTTTTGCTGTAATCAACTTTGGTTGTAAGCATGACTATATGCTGAGTCCTATGAGCCTTCCTAGCAAATCATCAAACCTGGGAGTGGTATTGGGGACCTCTGACACACCAAATGTCACAGACTATGTGGAATAACCTGAAATTATTTTACCTTGTTGGAGGGAATGTAAATTAGTTCAAACACTTTGGGAGACTATTTAGCAATGTCTACTAAAGCTAAAACATATTTCTACCATGTAACCCAACAATTCTACTCTTAGGAATATACTCAAAAGAAAGTAAGTGCCTATGTTCACCAAAAAAACTTATAAGAATGTTCACTTATTTATAATAGTTCAAACTATAAACCACTCAAATTCCATCAACAGATAAATGGATAAGCAAATTGTGGCATATTCATATAATAAAATAAATACTACAAAGTAATAAAACATGCACACATACTGATATACACAACAAAATGGATGAATCTCACAGATGGTAGATAAATAAAAAAGTTCAACACAGGAGTACACAATGTATGATTCCATTTATATGCAAAAGTGTGATAAGCAAAGCATGATTCCATTTATGAGGTCCAAAAACTAAGAAAATTAATCTATTGTGATAAGAGTTAGAAAAAGAGTTCCCTGAAGGGGAGTACTGAGCTATACCAGGGGTCGGCAAACTGTGGCTCGTGAGCTACATGTGGCTTTTTGAGTACATACATGTGGCTCTGAAGTAAAATTGATAATGAAAATAAAACTATCATGGTTTCATTTATAAAATNAAGGATACATTCTTAAGGAGCTTTCTATATAAAAATTTATTTCAGTCCTTTTATCACTGTTTCTCCCAAGTGCATACATTGCCACACATTACAGAACATGCTCAACAGATGTTTAGGAATAGAGGAAATACCATGTGCCAAGCCCCACTACTAGGCACAATTACAAACTTATCCTCTTCTCATATCACTGTGTGAACTAAGTATTACTGCCCATGTCTTACAGGTATATGAGCTGAAAATTAACCAGAGTTGTTCAGATTAATGGCAGGGATAAGATTAACATCAAGTTTCCAAGTTCAGTATTCTTTTCATTGCACTACTCTAGAAACGTTTTTCCCAAGACTGTCTTAACAAACAAATTGCCAGAAATATGATTATAACTACAATTATAGTAGGAATAACTATCTATTATTTATCCAAGGCCTATTATGTGCCAGGCAGTATAATAGAAGCTTCTTTAATCCTCACAACAATCTCACAAGGTTTTATCAGCCTCATTTATTGATGAGGAAAACTGAAGTTAATGGCTTGTTCAAAGTCACAGAGTAAGTCAGGATTAACCCCCGGCCTGGTATGAATGGCTCCCAAGCTGGGCCCGTTCCACCACACTATACCTAGGAGACACCCCAGCCCCTTTTAGTATTCTCTATAGTATTTAAAGCTTTCTCTGGGTTGTTGTGAAGGAAAGTTTTCAAAAATACAATTCTGATCATGTTGACCTGGGTAAAATGGTATTAAACTGCATGATCAAGTACAGTGTCTCGGCATGGCAGATCACCTACCTCTCCAGCCTCCTCCCTGACCACTCCCTAGGGAGCATCGTACAATACAGCAAACCATTCAACATGCTCTCTCAGGCCTCTGCTATTCCTATGCTTCTAAAGCCTTCTTCTCTTCACGATGCAGCTCAAGCTCCCCTCTTTATGAAGCCTTCCCTGATCCCACTGCCCAGACAGAGACAGATGGCACCCTCTGCTGCATTCTCACAGCCCCTTGGCCAGACTTCTCACATGCAACATGGCATTGTACCTATTGTTTACTATCCTTCTTCCCATACACGAGTGAGAATTCTCTGAATGTGGACACTTCCTTTGGCTCATTTTATATTCCCAACCCACTGCCTGCCACACAGAAGGGGCTGACTAAATAATGAATCAATGAGTATGCATATAGATATACAAAGATACTATATTTAGTTACCAAGAGAATAGTATTGAGGACATCATTATTCAGTGGTGACTCTTCTGCACCTCTGTGTTTCCGTATTTTCTTCTTTGCAGTATGTACCATATTTGAAACTGATAATTTATGAATTGGAACTGGTGCTGGCTCTGTCAACTTTGACAAAGCATGACTTATATCAGCAATTTCTATAAAAAGAATAGAAATGAATACAAATTATATCACCAACCTTGGCAGGTTAAAGTGATGACTGTATAGAATATGTTAGTCACTCCCTTTCGCTAGCATTACATGGTTTCAGATTTATAAAATTTTAATACACATATTCATTATATGCATGCATGATTGACAAAGGGGTAACACAAATTATTTCTCCCCAGGGGACTTCAACAATAAGCCTCTACAACCCTGCTTTTCAAAATATCTTACATTTTTGGGTAAAGGTTTATAGCCTAGAGAGAAATGGTACCTAGTCCATCAACTCTTGCTTCTTCAACTTAATTGAAATTTAAAAAAATAGATGAACAGTTGCTGGAAAACGTGCCAAAGAGAAAGGTTAGACATCAGAAAATAACCTAAAAAAAAATAGGTCACCTCTCCCTTCTTCCTCAAATGCAGATCGTCCAAGGATCTCATCAGTTGACTCCTTACGACGGCAAATTTTAAAAAATTCAGTGATAAAATCACCTACAGAGAAAAAATGTTACTCATTTTTAACACTTAACTGAAAGAAATCAATCCTATAAATTAAAGTACATGTCTTTTCACAAAAGCTATTCAATACGATAGGAAAAAAACCAAAACATTCAGTTTTTCTACCCAAGACAGAAATCAATCCTATTTCAAAGGCAGCCTTGCTCTTCCTTTCTCTCCATGTCCCAGGATATTAAAAAAAATTTCTCAGAATTCCTTCTAGAACTAAATGAAAAAATAATTGTACCTGATAATATTAAGCGCTTGCTATGTGCCTGAATTAAGACAAAAAATATCTATTCTCATTAAATTGTGTAAGTAACAAGAATACAACTCTATGTATATAGTGGTCTTTTTTCCCTGTCACCCCACTAGAATTCTGAATCCATTAAAAAAATAAAGATTAAGAAGAAATACCAAAGATATGTTTCTAGAGGATTAAGAAATCACGTAGGATGAAGCTATTTCAGCTTCAGCTGCATTTTAATGGTACACTTTGTGTCATTATAACAAAGGGGAAAGGTTTTGATATCTTCTAAAGAGCTGCAATAAGATGTTTGCACAAAGAAATTAAAGCTTAATAAGAACTATCAATCCAAAATTATTAGACAATCTACTGAGTACATCTAAGTTTTAGAATTCACTAACTAGTTCTCAGTAAACCTAGAACATTTTCTGGATTTCTTCAGAAAAGTAGGAAAATCAGCCTTNTCTTTTATGTTTGATACTTAGATGGTTTCACCTTTTTTATTCCTATTATAAATTTTCTGCAGTGAGTACTTCTGAACATAAATCATGTCCAAAGTTTCTTACCATTTTCTTAGGGCAGGTTTCCTGGAAGAGGAGAATTAATTAGTCAAAAGTCAAATTCTGTCAACAAAAATCCTAACTATACAACCGGAAATGGAAATTATTACCCTGGAATCAGAAAGTTGTTTTCCCATCGGAAACGCATTTCAAGAACAAACTCCTGCCAGAGGTGTGCCACTCCTTTCAATCCTCCATGGTAGAAATTGATCATACAAAGACACAAAGCCAGTTTGTACGTTAAACTGTCAGATGGTGCAGATTTGAACTGATTGTAGAGATTCTAAATTTAACCAAATAGAAACAGAGCAAAACTTGTTAACATATTTACATGTATAATCAAAAACTGTGAGTGGAGATTTTAATATTAAAATTAATATAGCTTACCAAAACTAGTTTTTGTCAAATGTCTAATATATTACTACCTAAATTGTTCTTAGGCAGTTCCGTGTTTTCAAGATTTCTACAAGGATCAAAAAAGTGAGGCTATAGTTTGGTGAGGCTAAAGTTACAGCTTTCAATTTCTCTATGGAATCTTCAAAATGTATTCCAAATTTCATGTGTTGTTTTAAAAATCTTTTAATTATAAATAGTACATATTTGTTATCAAAACAAACACATAAACTCAGAACTATTGAAACTGAAAATGTAAAGCCTTCACTTTTCCTCCTCATTTCATGAAATCTACCTCCTAACAGTAACGACTATAACAATTTGACATATCTCTGTATCTGTCATTTAAACTCTCATTTCTCAAAGACCTGGATAAGAAAAACATGAAATTTTTACTTCATTAAAGTTTTCCACTCACTTTCTAGTTTGAAATACAGGGAAGAATCTGTTGCAAAACATAAATTTTATGATTTCATGAAAAGACTACAACCATGCACAGTGTATTTGTTTGTTTGTTTTCCACTGATACCAGAAAAGTTCTTGCAACCCAAAATAATGTATCTATGCTAATATTCTACACAGGTCATTATCTGAATAAAGGCCATATCTCCACCCACTTAAGTTTTCCAAGGTGATTTTAAAGTAAAAGAGATCCTTATGCTACTAGTAAACTAGAAATAGAGCAAACCCCTAGAAATTCAATTCATTTTAAATACTGAACTCCAAGTCAACTAAATAAACTTACATATTCTTCATTCTCTGATGGAAGATTATTGCTGTCTGTTGAAGAGGCTCCATCTAATGGTTTCTCAGAAGCAGCATCAGGGAATAAGAACTTAGGAGAAGGAAGAAAACATTTTCAACCAAATTTCCTATTTTGTTGATTTTTTTAAACTCATATAGGTGCTATTTGATTTTTTTAATGGTTTTGCTGTTAAAACAATGGAAATATTCTTATTGTACTGGCCAGTTGGTTGTACATTATCCTAAACTTTTTCTGTTTTTCTTAGAAAATACTGTTTTAGTGACTATCTAGTTTTAGAAATCAGAGGCTTTTCTTAACTGTAACCACCTGGTTCTCTGAACTAAACAGAATACAACCAAAATTTCTTCACTATGATTTCAGGCTCATCCAAAATCATCAAAGTTTTAAAAAAGCCTTAATATTATTAGAAAGACAAAGCTTATATAAAAGAAAATTTTAAAACACCCATATGTTCATGAGGCTCAGTAGGGTTATATTATTCACAGGTTTTCATATATGAAAAACTAAAAGCATGATATTTAAGACACATAACTTTAAAAGATATCCTGAGAAAATGGGAAGAGGTCTAAACCTATAATAACCAGTGTTTCTTTTCCACATGGGGTGTGTGTGTGTGTGTGTGTGTGTGTGTGTGTGTGTGTGTGTGTATGCACATGAGCACATACACAGAAATGGTAAAAGAAATTCAGTGTGTATGAGAGCTGATCTATATAACTCAAATAAAGGATACATTCTTAAGGAGCTTTCTATATAAAAATTTATTTCAGTCCTTTTATCACTGTTTCTCCCAAGTGCATACATTGCCACACATTACAGAACATGCTCAACAGATGTTTAGGAATAGAGGAAATACCATGTGCCAAGCCCCACTACTAGGCACAATTACAAACTTATCCTCTTCTCATATCACTGTGTGAACTAAGTATTACTGCCCATGTCTTACAGGTATATGAGCTGAAAATTAACCAGAGTTGTTCAGATTAATGGCAGGGATAAGATTAACATCAAGTTTCCAAGTTCAGTATTCTTTTCATTGCACTACTCTAGAAACGTTTTTCCCAAGACTGTCTTAACAAACAAATTGCCAGAAATATGATTATAACTACAATTATAGTAGGAATAACTATCTATTATTTATCCAAGGCCTATTATGTGCCAGGCAGTATAATAGAAGCTTCTTTAATCCTCACAACAATCTCACAAGGTTTTATCAGCCTCATTTATTGATGAGGAAAACTGAAGTTAATGGCTTGTTCAAAGTCACAGAGTAAGTCAGGATTAACCCCCGGCCTGGTATGAATGGCTCCCAAGCTGGGCCCGTTCCACCACACTATACCTAGGAGACACCCCAGCCCCTTTTAGTATTCTCTATAGTATTTAAAGCTTTCTCTGGGTTGTTGTGAAGGAAAGTTTTCAAAAATACAATTCTGATCATGTTGACCTGGGTAAAATGGTATTAAACTGCATGATCAAGTACAGTGTCTCGGCATGGCAGATCACCTACCTCTCCAGCCTCCTCCCTGACCACTCCCTAGGGAGCATCGTACAATACAGCAAACTATTCAACATGCTCTCTCAGGCCTCTGCTATTCCTATGCTTCTAAAGCCTTCTTCTCTTCACGATGCAGCTCAAGCTCCCCTCTTTATGAAGCCTTCCCTGATCCCACTGCCCANGGCAGTGTCACTGGCCCTCATATGTGGGATCCGAACCGGGGCCCTCTGGCATCCCAAGCCAGCTCTTAACCAACGCGCCACTCGGCCAGCCCTGTGATTCATTTTTTAAATAACGTATAACTAGTATAAAAGTGTAAGACTAGGTTTGGGGAGATGTGTTTTTCTTTCTCTTAAATGAAAATAACTCAAATTAAAGCCAGTCTTGAATATTGAACCACAAATTTAGACTATGACAAATCAACACTCATGCAAAACAGTTTATACTAATGAATCAGTTAACAGAAAATTTAGATTTATCTTTATATTCATTAAAAACCATAAAAATAAATATCCAAAATCCTATGATCTCAGCTTACCTTAATAATGGTTAACCTACATTAATGAGGAAAAGGACTTAAATGTGCATAGGAATCACCTAGGGAGCTTGTGAAAATGTAGATTCAATAGTATTCTGCTTATCTAAACCAGTCTCCAGGTCTTGCAGATACTGCTGGTCAGGAAGAATAAGAGACATTTAGCTCAGCAGCAGCATCTATAAATGTCACTATCGCTTTAACTGAATATAATCTCGATCTAAAGTTACAATATAAGGTGGTTGCCCCAAAAAAAGATCATTCCGTTTCGGGCTTGCTTGTATTACCTTACAAGCAAGGTACAATTCTGGCTGGTCAGGAATAATCAGCAGTCAGGTTCAGATATCAAATGAGTGTTCACCCGTTACTAAGGTACAAATGGTCTAGAAACCGTAACAAGATTGCTTTGACACATAACTTCTACTCTAGTCACATAGCAATGTAGATAAACACAGAAAGAGAAAACCAAAAAGAAATAGTTAGGATGAAACTCAAAATAAATATCTTTATGGGCCCTACCTAGTAAAGGTACAGAAAACCCAAAGTGGTAAATCTGGTTCAAGGCACGTGCCTGCTGAATTTCAGGTGCAGAAGGCAGCTGCCGCCCTCGGATTGCAGACTGTACTAAATGGAAGCAAAAGTCCTCCGCCCAGAGTTGAGGGCCATTCCAAGACTCTGCTTAAGGCAGACACTGAGGCAGGGCACTCCTGCTTGGTACGGTGGCTTGGTTGAAAGCTATGGATGGGACTGGGGCGAGTTACCGTGTGAAGGGGTCAAAAAACCAAAAAGAACCAATCTCATGACCTGAGCAAACAATCCAGTAATTCCAAGACTAGATGTACAATATCCCAAACACCACCACAGAACAAGAAGCTCCCAACCCCACTTTAAGGCAAGGTTCTAAAATATTCTTCAGGTAAGGAGCAACCACAAAACTACAAAACCACCAGAAAGGATGGGAGAGAAAATTTTAAATTTTAAATATTCCAAATGAGCCTGCATACAAAATCTCATTCAATATGAGCCTACAAACAGAATTTCTCCAAAACATGAAGAAATGTAGTTCTAAAAGGGACAAATATCAAATCAACAACCAGAAATTAAAACCATGAAATACAAAGAACACCTGAAAAAATGAAGAATGTCTAAACAGAAAAATAAAGACTTGTGTGTGTGAGAGTTTTCAAAGAGGATTTAAAATTAAATTTTATGTGACTCTAAAGGGCAGAACTGCTCCTCCTCCCCAAAGCAAAGTCTTTTCTAATAATTAGATCTATGTGAAAATGAAATAAACTGCCAGTGATGGGTGAGAGTGCCCTGGAGCACTTCAACTGAATACTAAAGAGTAAATTTTATAAATACAGTTTTATAAAATAGTACAGGAGAGTCACATTCTGGGTAGCTTTATCTATGTAAAACCGCTAAAGTACCCAAACCAAGTCTTAATTATTTTAAGTTCAACTCTTATCAAATCAATTTGGAGAAGTATTTCATGTCTAGATGAGTGAGTTTTGTGAAAGTTCTGACAGATGACGTGATAAACTGATTAGGGACTTCTTTTTTTTAAGTGCAACTAGCATATAGTCATAATCTTAGTCAGATACCACAAATCAAGGTAGTCTCTGGTTCAGTAAAGAGAAGTTGAGCTACACAGAGGAGTGACATAAAAGATCCATAAAGTAATGTACACTAATTTTCTTTTAATAAGAAGGAATAAAGTTAATTGTATCTGACCAGAAATTTGATCTAAAAAAATTAAATATAATTGAAGACTTCTGGTGAGGGCAAAAGAAACTAATGGGGTGGAAATTTACACACACACGCTTGCATTTTCCAAAAATTTCTCAAAAACACCACATGTAGATTTAAGCATTACTTAAGGCATTTCAAAGCCCAGAAAGTTTTTGAAAAAAATTACATATATACATAGAACTCTAAAATATATGCATTTATGGTTTTTTAAATGGAGATAATCACAAGAAATGGTTAACAATAGTTATTTTGAGAGGGACTGAGGAGTAAAAGGAAGCTTCTACTTTACTTAAATTTCTTAACCTGGTACATGCATTATTACTATTTTAAGTGTCAGAGGGATTTATCTGGGTGGTGATAATCCTATCACTACTTTATTCAGGGCCTCAACACTTTCTGAAAACATTTTTGTGAAACTAAGTTCTAATCCTAAATATCTATCTAACAAACAATACCTATTAAAAAAATTTTCAGCATTTTTTTTCTCATAATTTTTTTCCTTTTTAAAATTTGCAAACCTTCAGAAAGGTTGCAAAAAGGAGTATAATGAACACTCATACGATTTTCACCAAGTTCACCAATTATTAACATTTTGATACACACATATAATATGTGCGTGTATGTGTGTGTGTATACAGAAGGTGCCAAAAATATGTAAACACATTTTAAGAAAGGAAAATACTGTATTANTATCCCACAGCTTGTATATTTATTTAGGTGATTATTACAAAAGTCTATTTCCTTCAATGAGATTGTAAATGCCAAGAATGGCAGAAACTGTTTTATTTACTTCTGTATCTTCCTCATTTAGCATAGTGCCTATCACATATAATAAATAAATATCAATTACAAAAGATACTCAATTGAGAAATTTTAAGTTAAAAGTATTATTATTTCTACTTCTATGTAAGAGTATTAAGAATGTACAATATGCATGCATGTGTATATATTTTTTTAATTAACCAAATAGTTCAACTTAATAAGATAGTTTCCAAGTCAGCATTGTCTATATTTTCTAAATATTTTGTTATTAGTGATTACATTTTCCAAGTCCTACATTTTCTTGTGAAACAACTTTTTCTTCAAGTTCAGTAGCTCTTCTAGAAAAGCAAGTGGATAACATAAGAGGTCACCCTTGTGTCTCTTACTTAAGTCCTAATTTGTACATTTTGTAAAAGTAGTCAGGAAAAATGTAAACAATTGTTAATTCTGGGTAATGGATACATGAAAGTTTGTCATATATAACATTCTCTGTTTTTAATATTTAAAATGTTTCCCAAAAAGTAGACCAAGAATCACTTCTATATGGAATAATCAATAAATAGTATTATATACATCTTATGTATTATTTTAATGCCTCTTTTATTTCTTATGTTAGAGAGAAAAAAAAAACAGATGGGCAGGTTGTTAGTTATAGGTCTGTTTCATTCCAGGAATCTACAGTATTACAAAGCACAGTAAAATCAATATCAATATAATTTTAAAAGTCCCATAATTCAAATGATAGATTAAAATTCTTACCTAATAGGGTCTTCACAGGCACCAAATGGTAACTTGCCAAACTCCAGGCCTCCAACTTCTCCTCCTACAAGGGCATCTATATCTAAACAAAAGAAACATTTTTCTATTATTTAGCAAAAAACAGAAATAATAGTTAGTGAGGTTAGCCCCTTGGGAGATGATAGATTTAAAAGTGCCTACAGCAAGAACACATATAGCAAGTTTGAGAGCAAGCAGTCAGGTATTAAAGACGTCCCCTGAGAAAGTTATAGTGAAAAGGACATACTTAATTCCTATTTATTCAGTGTTTCATTCAAGCCATGCATTCTAACTTTAACATCTTAAATATTCCTTAAATATTACTTGAGAGAATTCTATTCCTATAAATATATTTTTTATTTTCTTAGAATGTGATTAATATCCTCTAAAAGAAAGATTATCCCAGTATTAAAAATTTAATCACCAACCTACATTCATCAATTTTGCTGTCAATAATTTCTGAATAGCAAATTAGTCATCATTAATAAAATTATATTTCAGTTGACAGTACATGGAAATATTTAAAGTTCACCAAAGAATTTCCTTTCCATTATGAATGGTATCTGAGATTAGAAGAGAATTTAGAAGGTAAATCACCCCGCTTGGTTCCATTCCTTTTGAAGAAGTAATAAACACTACTAAAAGACATCAGAAAGATTTATTGCTTTTGAAATAATACAGATGGTTGTTTTTACTTATTCATACTAGACTGGGAATTCCTATAATTAAAGTCTATTGTTGAGTTATGAACACTCTCCAGATTTGCTAAAATCATGTTTGACAATTATCTACATCCTAACTAAATTATTAAAATTAGTCATTACCTATGGCTCAATTACTTGATTCAGTCAATTTTCTAAGTCAATTCATTCCATTTTTCCAACTAAAGAATGCTTACAATAATAAAGTTCACACTGACTAGCTTTATTACAAGATGTCAATTTTTAAGAGCTTCAAAATTTATCATAGCACATTTTATAAATTAGAAATTATTACTAGACAGTAACTGTATAAAAGTCTTAACTGAATTAAAAGTGGAGAAGCAACATTGTGAAATGAAAGAATCACGGGATTTAGAGTTTGAGCAGTGTCTGAATATGAACTTTATCACCTGGTGATCATATGACCTCGGTCTAGTTACTTATGTTCTCTAAGAAAGATAATAATTACCTGTCTCATAGGTAAACAAGGATTACATGAAATAATATATAAAATGCCAAGCACAGTGTCTGGCCCATATTACATGTTCAATCCCTTCCTTACTTTTGTAAGAGAAAAATATTAAAAATTTATATGGCCTTCAATCCACTGAGGGAGGTTAATATTTTGATCCCCATCAAAAAAAAAAAAAGCAATAGAACATTAACAAAGGCCTTACTGGCAATCGAAATTATACTGCTAAGATTCTGGCTCTTGGGCTTCTTAGATCAACAGACCATACCATCTTGGGAAATCTTTAAAACTGACTAATGACAGCGCAGCCTTTGAAAAAAGGAAAAGGAGGGTAGGAATTTAAACTTCTAAATAGAAGCCAAATACAAACTGTCTAGTAGGTATTGTTGTCTGGGAACTAAAATGACCAAAACAAATATAAATGTCAGCTTAGCTTTTACTTCCCTTTGCTGTAGTTTAGATGCAGTTATTTTATTGTACATTAGTGTTTCAAATTATTCAGTGGCACAAAAAATAGTAGTAGTATATATATAGCCACCAAAGCTAAGGGTGTACATTAATTTTAAAATAATCACAAGACTATCGATTTATTATTTTCAATCCTATAAATAACCAACTGATTGGAATAAAAAAATGAAGAATATTATTTTATATTCTTATTTCTTTTTGAAGGAGGTAGACTGAAAAATTGTTTTTAAGCTAGTATAATACTTATAATTAAGTCTGTATTAAATTTCTTATTAGATGTACTTGAATATAACTACACTTACATGTGAGAGAAACACCCCGTAACTAAACACCTCACTTAATTAGGCTATATCACTTAATTAGGCTATATGTCAATCAAGCTGAGCTTTTCTAGAACTTATGAAGTATCTTCTTCAATTTTGTGTCCCTGGCACAGTGTGGCCTATTATAATCTATAATTAATGACTGTTGAATGAACCAGTATATCATGGCTAAGCAAGTAAACTGATTTCATTTACATTTTTATCAAATGTAAGTTAAAGTAAAATATTCTATAGCTCTTCCCATCATAAATGTACGTGTATATAAGCTTTTTTTTCCAGCTTTCCTCATGTAGCACTCTTCTTCAGATTCTTCAAGGTTCTCTACATGTCTATCCTCAGCTTATGAGGGTGGCTTCTCTTATTATATTCTAGAAACAGCCACTTTAATCATTCACTGCATGCTGATTTGCAGCACACAGCGCTCCACAACAGGGGAAGGCTTTATAAGTAATATTAGCTTTCAAAGACAGCTGTCTTATATTGTCACATATAGAGTAATATTATCTCTAGAACAACCTACAGAGCTTTTTTTAAGAGAAAAAAAAGACAAAGGCAATAAAATTAGCAATATTACATTTAGAATGAATTACAAATATTTCAAATTTAAAACACCTGGAACACACTGTTAAATAATTTTAAATCTGAATGTATTTTCCTTTCTACTCATATTCAATAAGGTAAATATAGTTTTAAACTATCTCACCTGGAGGTTGCTGAGGCCAAAAATACTGCTGCCAATCCTGAAGTACATAGGTAAATCGAATAGCAATGCTAACCGGAGGCAACGGAGTTAAAGGACATCCCTAGGAAATGCAGACAATATTGTGCAGCTTTAAAAATAGTGTTTTTAAAAACAATGCCAGAGAGCAAATTACATTAGAATAAAGTTGTTTAAACTACTACCTGAAGATATTAAATTCTAATATGCAAAATATTCTATCAAAATATANAAAAAAAAAAAAATTATGCCAAGTGAAAGAAGCCAGACACAAAAGGTGACATATTGTATAATGCAGTTTATATGAAATGTCCCAAAATAGGCAAGTCCATAGAGACAGAAAGTAGAGTAGTATCTGCCTACAACTGGAGAATCTGGAAAGACTGGGGGGAATGATATCTAAGAGGTGAGGCGTTTCCTTCTGAGGTGATAAAATTTCCTGGAATTAGACAGTGATGATGGTTGCACAATTCTGTAAATACTAAAAACCCCTGAATTGTACACTTGTAAATGAATTTTTACAGTACTTGAATCACATGTCAATTTTGAAAAAATGTTATAAGTGTGGGTTGGCAAACTTTTTCTACAAAGGACGAAAGAGTAAATATTTTAGGTTTTGTGGGCCATGTAGTCTCTGTATATTCTTTTTTTCTTTTAAAACTCTTGACAGTGTAAAAATCATTCTTAGTAAACTAGCTACAGAAAAACAGGCTACTAGCCATATTTGGTCCACATGTTAGTTTGCTGACCTCTTATTATAAATGAATACTAAGTTTCAACAAGTTTTTCATGTAAAATTATAAAATAAAGCCACAAAAATGTAGAGGATGACAACGTACATTTCTAAAATATACAAACACATTGTGCAAAAAAAGTTAACATAGCAGGCCTGGTATTTAGAAAGGAGTACCTTCAAGGCTGGCCCTAGGCATGGCATCTGGAAACCTGGGTTTCAGAAGGGTTTGTACCATTCCCTGATACAAGTAGTTCACTGAGCCTGCCTACTTGAGTAAACGATATGGTTTATGTTGAATACCTGTTTTCCCTCTGATATGTGCTAGGTAGAGTGTGCCTACAGGACCAGCCCCTGACAAAAACGCCAAGCACTGAGCTTCTAATGAGTTTCCCTGGTAGGCAGCCTTTCACACATGTTGTCACAATTCATTGCTGGGAGAATTAAGTGTGTCCCGACTGTACTGGGAGAGGAAACTGGTTCCTAGCTTGCTCTGGATCACCCTATGTGCCTTTCTCCTTTGCTGATTTTTGCATTGTATACTTTTACTATAATAAACCATAGCCATGAGCACAACTGCTGAATTCTTTGAGTCCTAGCAAATCAATGAACCTGAGGGTGGTCTTACAGACCCTTGTTACACATACATACAATAAACATGTACACGTATACACCAAATTCATACATAGGAAAAAATGTCTGGAAATACATATATCAAGCTGTAACCACTTATTAGTAGTGAGATTATGAATTCAGTGAAACTTTTTTCTTGTGTAGATTATAAATCCACTTATGTTTGGAGTGTACATAAGCCAAAAGGGCCAATTACTTTACTTCTCTGATGTTTGGTGACTAACTAGCAACTCTAGTCTGAGACTGAATCCACAAGTACAGTATAGAATTCACTGTGATAGCAGGGCCAGCACTCCACAACAATGCAGTGTAACCTTGGTTATGAACTAGACAACTAGCCATCATTGACTCAAATCTATTTTCCAAGCCAGGTCCTATAATGGTCCCGCTTAAACATTTGAGTCCCTAAATACCTTTCCATAAATTGACTTTATGTGTGAATTAGTTGACTACTACAGTTTGCAACAAAAAAACCTGACTAATAAACATACAACTTTTGCTTCTTTTTACATGTTTTCTAAATTTTCTCTGATCATGCATTATTACTTTCATAATAAAACTAATTTTTAAAGTAAACACAATCACCATAAACAGTATGTTATATTAGAGGACATAGATGATTAGAGGTTTAAAACTGTAAGTTCCTGAATAATTTTAGGTATTAACCTCAGATTCAGTTTCTAAACTTTTATGACTGTCATTTCCTCTCCCTCTAACTACAGAACAATTTCTTTGACAAGGAGAGAGGACACTATAAAAAGCCTCTTCATTTCCTCTTCCGCTGCCAAAGATTCCTTCCAAAAGCATCGTGCCCACAACTTTGCTCATCACCATTTGATTTAAATGGTTGACCATAAGCAACATCTTACCCCCAATTTATTTTTTCATTCTTCTTCAATCATTTGTTTCTCTGCTGACTCCTCACCACATTTAAATAGGAGGAAATATTTAATAACTAATTCCTTCAAATTTCTACTACCAGATCAACTTTATTCTCTCCCCCTAAGATTTTCTCTAAGCAAAATTTAAATGAATGAACCAGTTGGAAGGCCATAAATCTATCTGTAAGTCACCCTATTCCAATTTCCTTCTTGCTCACTATGTTCTAGCCATGCTGGCTGCCTTATATTTCCTCCAATAAACTAGTCAAACTCTTTCCTGCATCAAGGCCCTTTGCTCAGGCTCTTCCTTCCACCTGGAATGGTCCTTCTCTA